TAGAACCCTAGTATAATTGATACGTCCGTGCCAGTTATAATCATATTAAGGATGTAGGGGGCTCATAATTGGGCTATAAGTAGCACCAGTGTCGAGCACGAGGCATGGATAGGAGTGACCTTTTCGACCCTCCAACTGTCACGGCTTAAATACCCATTACTAAGGGCCGTATCCGCATAACCCCAAATAAGGGTACTCGGAGGGTTTTGGTTCTTATGAAATTCTAGAACGCTGTGGTGGTTTCATGCTCTTGATGTACTTGCGCAAGCTATCTATAAGCACGTGCGAATTCTTCACACTCCTGGAAGACCATGCTACAAAAAGGGAAATACTTTCCAATATTTACCAAGAATATGGTGGCAGATTCCTTGTGCTATGGTGATGGAGAGCCCAAGTAGCCTTCAAAATAATGTAGGTGATTAACTATCTAGGTTTCTGCGTTACCTGCTGAAGCCTCCACATTGCAGTTGGGTTGCTTGGCTCGTGTGCCTTGCCTGGCGTTCTTCAGGCTTCGTGTGAGAAATCCTCAGCCATAGCCCTATACCCTAAACCCTAAACCGACCCTTGTTGCAAAAGGTTCTCTGCAGTTGCAGACTAAGCAATCAACTATGTCAGGTTTAGTCTTTACGATGGTCCGTTGCAGACGACCCCTATCCTGGGTTTAACCACATGGAAAGAAGATTGGCAAGGACTGTTGCCTCGATATCCCCCAACAATGTGTATATATGAATCCCTATATAACAACTTCTTCAAGCTGTTTGAGCTGAGAGGGGTAGCTTGGGAGCTCGGATGTGGGCTTGTGCTGAGGGCCTCTGCTAGCTTACCCAAACCCCCAAGCCTAAACCCTAAACCCCAAACCTTATAACCCTGAACTCCAAATCCTAAACCCCTGAAATCCTATACCCCAAACCCCTAAGCCCGAACCGCGGTCAGGTCCGCTCAAGGTTTTGGCCTTCAAAAAAAAGGGGACCCTGACTATTCAGGGGTTACGGGGGAACCTAGATAGAAACCCTATACGCCAGCCCTAAACCCTCTCGAAGCATTTTGCCAAGACCACCCCTGTGATGGGTTCAGGTACTGCTGCTGTTTGGGGTCATTGTTTCACCTACTTTTGAGGTTTGTGAACAGGTTTTTCCCGGCAGCATGGTGATGTCACCCCAAACCGGGCAAAGGATGCCGTGGAGGATTTCCGAACTAAAGCCCTAATTACACCATAAACCCTGCTTGTGGTCCCCAGCCTATATCCGGCGCTTGCGCAGCATGAAGCTGCCTGTTGATGCAGGACATGGGCATTCTCGAAATGCTCCGTGCCCCGCCGCCTACCACGCAGCCCACTTGCAATTGTTGCATGCGTTCCTGCCATGCTTTAGGCTAAGACATATATCGGAGTCCCCTTTGAATGCATTCGCGGATTCTAGAATGGTACATGGAAGTCTCCCGCAATGGGGTAATCCCATTGTAGACCCGAGTATACCTTATGATAGGGACCCCGGAAAACGGATCCTTAACTGGTTCCTGGTGGCTATGTCTGCTTCTCAGGATTCCCTTGTACTGGGCCTACGGCTCTTCTACAGCTGCGCAAGGGCTGGAGGAAGTCTTGCACCATTTAGGGTCCTCCAAATATTGTAATGCACTCTAAACCTTGGGATATAGGGTATTTAAGATGGTGCAAGATTTCCTCCGTCCTCAGAAGGAAACCCTACTTGCTACATATCCATATTATGGTAACTTACTTCGAAGCCCGTTTTCCCTTTAATTGGCCGTTGATTCCCAATTGGTTCTCCACTGCTAACCCAGACCCCTGATTTATAAACCCCCTCCCCTTATTAGGGATTATACAAGGGATCCTAATATTTAGGCCCTTAAGAGGAGGGGGTTTACTAATCATGGGTCTACATTACGGCACATGGGGAGCATCCTGCGTTGCCTTTTGAGTTTTCGAGGGTTCAGGGTTCTAGGTTTAGGGTCCCTGGGCTCTAGTTTAGGGTTTAGGTTTAGGGTTCAGGGTTGAGAGGGTTCAGGTTTAGGGTTCAGGGTTTAATCAGGCCACTTTATATAGTGCTAGAGTGCAAAATAATATGTTGCTGAATGGAACTTCTGCTTTGCCAGTCACAACTTCTGGCAGTCACCCTATTTCGCTGAGAACATATGGTGGATTGTCTTGCGCGGCTCTGATTGAATTTCTCATGTTGCGCATCAGCTAAAGCTGAAATTTAGGACGAGTGCCCTGAATCTTAAACCCTAAACCAGAACACCTAACCTACTAAACCCTAAACCAACAATTAACCTACTAAACCCTAAACCACAAAACTAGCCTACTATATTGAGAGGTGGTGGGTTGTAGCAGAGGGAGCGGCCTTTTGATTTGGTATGAACGGCTCTGACGCCCAGCGTCAACAGTCAATGAGCACGTTCCAAACCCTAAGCCCTAAACCCAAAGCTCTGTACCCAGTTGCGCTGCGAATCGTTCAAGGCCTTCCCTTATGGAAGCGCTCATGCAAAATGATCGGGCTCCCAGTTACCTGCATAGTAGGCCACGCTATGTAACTACATTTTAAACTTCTTAAAGGTGGTTATAGAACACGGAACCCATCGCGCCCGGCTGCGAGACTCTGAAGGGCAGGTATGGCCCAAAACCCTAAACACGGTTCGAATGATTAATAGTGAACAGGTTGTGGTTTAGGGTTTAAGGGTTTAGGGTTTAATGTCTTTTTTTTTCTGCCTGTGTTTGGTTGCTGGAGGATGTTCTGCTTGGCTCTAGATCCGCTCCCTGAATATCTCTGTATCCCCGGAAGACAGAGTGGCGGTATGGATGGCTAATTTGCTCTTATGTAAAATGTATTCTACCACCTATATGACTATATGATTCCTGTATAGCCCCTGTAGAACCCATATATTAAGCCCCTATAACACCCTAAATCCTAAACCTTAAGTCCTAAATCCTAAACCCTAAATCCTAAACCCTAAATCCTAACCCCTAAATCCTAAATCCGAAATCCTAAATCCTAAACCTATCATACTCAGGGGTTCTATACAGAGTACCAGTCGCGTCCCAGAGACGATTTCCCCCGGCATCCTGAATTCACGAGGACCACCATCATGGAGGCCACCGAGATCCAGGCAATCAAAACCCAAAACCCTTAGGGGTTTTAGGGTTTGGAGTTTTAGAGTGTAAGGGTTTAGGGTTAAACACTTTAACCCTGAACCCTAAACTAACCATACACTCGTTTGGGTCAATTTCTTGGACGTAGGGGAAGTGAATTTTGTGTGTCTTCTTTGAAAAGAAGGTCTGCTTCGCTGCTGCTGTGGTGGTGGGTTTAGCTGAGTTCAATGCATGAAGGGGCGGGGCAATGACATTGACCAAAGGTTGTCGAATCCAAAGTAAGGGTCCAAGCTTATTTGGGTTTGGGGCTCCCATACTAAGGAGTATAGTATGTTAGGGTCAATATTGGGGTCACCCTATTTAAGTACCATTTTACATTGTAATAGTGACTATAATACCTGGGTAACTATCTGGTTATTGGGTACTTGGACCCTTACGGTATACCAAACGATGCTAGGTGTCAGTGTGTGCAAACGGCGTTCCCCATGACCGGGCCTTTTGCAGTTTTTGAGGCTCGCAGGGAACTTTCACTGGGGGTGGGGGGTGGAAGGGGGTGGGGGGAGGCGGTGGGGGAAGAATGATTTCGTCGGTATCTCATGTTTTCCACGTTTTCCAGGACAGTACATGCAACAGGCTTGCTTCTGATCGCATCTTTGTCTTGTCAAGCACACGGCGCTAGTTGTCGCGCGTCTTGAGGTAGGAGGGCTGCCCAACGCTCAAAGGATTCAATCAGGGCAACCATCTTCAGAACAGGTCTTTTCATCCACTTTCGCAACCTCTGGCATGTAGCCCGCTTGCGTCCCTTGCCAGCAATGGAACCGTGGGAGTTGCGGGCCTAGCACGCGCTGGCAGATTGCACAATCTGCTTCGCTTCTCGCGTGTAGAGGTTGTCTCTCACTTGCGCTGCTTCTGGCTTGTTTCCGTGTGCAGGAGCAAGAGCACAGGAACCCAATGCCTTGACGTTTGTTGGACATACCTCAACCGGCTTTTGCCCAAGAGTCTGCGTTCAAAGAATGCGGGAGAGGTGAATCGCCGCATCTTGGAGTACTTCCGCCATTTTGAGTGGCGCCGTAATGAAGGCCCATGCCTGTGGAACGCTTTGGGAACTCTTGCAAAGAACAACAACATGATTCGAAAACATTTCTGAATCCCACACGCCTGTCAATGTTCTCTACAATTCGGAATTGGGTGCAATGGTAAAAACAATATTTTTGAGCACTGCTTTTTACAATTCCAGATGTGATGCATGCAAAAACCCTGCAAAAACCTACATTTTCCATTCCAGCACCTTGAACGCACATGCGCTGTGGTTTTGCGGTCGCGAGTCACGCGTTACAGAAAATGCGTACAGGTCCATGTTCTTGCAGCAGGCGCTTCCAATTTCCATGGCTTTGAATGCTGCTCTAATAAGGCTTATGAATCCTCAGCCTTAAGCCCTAAACCCTAAACCCCCATCCTCAAACCCTAAACCCTTTCACGTCCACTTTGATGCATACCCATCATGGCCTGGCGTACATGCATCAGATAAAACCAGCCACTATTCTTCCTGGTTCTGAGTAGGGAGTAAGAAAATTTAGCATATAGGGTTTATGGTTTAAGGTAGGGAGTATGGGAATATAGTATATACACATATATATAGGGATAAGATAGGGAGTATATTTCCCTCTTCCATATTAAGAAGCCGTGTAAGCAATTCATGGGAATCTCCAGTAGCTACCAACTGACACTGAAGACTCCATGCTTTTGCTCAGCTCAGCAGGGGTAGGTTTGAACATCTGTTCTAGGCTTGTTACCTTCAATCCCCAGATAATCTTCATGAAGCAAGATAGTTTAAGTTTTAAAGCCCCCTCCCGAAACCTACCACAGGGAACCCTCATCTGCGCAAGCCTGCGGCCAGGAGTCGACGACGCCGTACGCGGAGAAATCCACGACAGCCTACGAAGAAAAATCGATGACGGCCTATGGAGCGGATTCAGCAACAGCCTACGAGCTGACATCGATGGCAGCCCATGAAGAGGAGTCAACAAGAACTTACGAAGTGGAATCAACAATGGCTTACGAAGAGGAATCGACGACAGCCTATGAGGAGGGGACATCTACGACAGCCCCCGAAGTGGAAGCAGCAACGGCCCCCGAGGAGGAATCAGCAAAAGCCTACGAAGAGGAATCGACCACGGCCTATGAGGAGGAGAAATCAACGACAGCCTCCGAAGTGGAATCAACAGCAGCTTCCGAAGAGGAATCAACAACGGCCTACGAAGAGGAATCGACCAAAGCCTATGAGGAGGAGAAATCGACGACAGCCTCGGAAGTGGAATCAGCAGCAGCCCCCGAGGAGGAATCAACAACGGCTTACGAAGAGGAATCCACGACAACCTATGAAGAGAAATCGACGACAGCCTACGAAGCGGAAGAGTCGCTGGGCTGAATGGCAGGTTCAGAATTTGGTTGCATCATGCAGTTCAGTACTATTTTACCTGGGGATACTATGGCACGTACCCATTATAGAGCAAGATTCTATCCTCCCTCTGAGGTATATATAGTATTTTCATATAAGGAAAACGCTACTCAGTTGAGATTGCAGCCTTGGTTGTTATGGATGATTTGCAAATTTGGCGAACAGGGCTCAAAGACGGGAAAGAAGTCAGCATGTACCCTTGAGACTGAATTGAGCGGTCAGTTGTGATAAGGAGGCGGAACTTGTTTGTGCACTTTTACCTCTATCCACCCCCAAATCCAAAAACCCTGTATAGATCCTATACCCCGAACCCCTAGAAACCCCTTTATATATACTCTAAAACTCCCTAGGCAGCCCTGGACTTTGCAAGAAGACTTCTCTCTGTCTGTTGTCAATGGACATGCCGGTTTCGGGTTTATTACCAATACTTCGGGTTTGGGAGGGTCATTCGGGTTTTGAAAATTTGGAATTTTGAGATTAAGTAAATATGAGAACCTTAACTACCTGGACCCCAAAAGTATGTAAAATAATGGCCCTTAAGGCTGTTATTATGGGCTTAGGGCTATTATTCCACATACCTTTTGGGGTTCAGGTAATGGTGTTTTAGTATGGGCTTGAGGGTTGAAGGTTGCGGGCCCCTGCTCTGAGGGACCTGGGAGCTAGGCAATGCGCCATATGCTTACTGTTTACATTGTAGGGTTTAGGGTTTAGGGAATACAGTAATACACTATATCCCTTGAATAGGCCCAGTAGAACCCTAGTGTGACCCTGCATAGGGAAGTTCCCGAAGCCAATAGTAACTCCAGAACCCACAAAGTAAGGGAATGAGAGAGTTTGTCTAACTAAGGTCCACGACGACCCGCTTTTGGAAAGAACCTTGGCATTTCCTTGGAGTGATAAAGCGAGGACAGCGGCTTGAATTCTGAGGGGCGGGGTATCATGGTGTATCTAAAGGATAGCTGTTGTTTGGTGAGGTTTTCGCCATTCGCTCAATGGCTTCAACATGTAAGATGAATGGTTTCACAGTGCCGTACTACCACAAACCCTACAACTAGTCTTGTGTGGGTCTGACTGCTTGGCGGCCGCTAACGCTCCCAACATTTCTTGCCTCAACACAGGTTTGCCAACTGTTGCTCTTCTTACCTTTCTAGCAATAAATGGTAGTTTCCCAAAATAAGGGATCCCCAATATAGACCCAAAAATATTATACTCCTTATTATGGGGACCCCCCAGAAAGGTACCCCTAATTTTGGGAAGCCCCCAAATCCCCAGCCTCAGTTTCCTTGCGTTGGATGATGAGGGAACGCGAACTTATTGCTGATAGGGTTTAGGGTTTAGGACTTAGGGTTCAGGGTTTATGATTTA